CATGGACAAAAAGTCCTGACTATCAGGCTGCTTAACTCTAACCAAAATCCCACTATCATTGAGATGACAGCATAATTACAGACCTAATACAATGTTTTACCAATGTTTAACTAGTTAAAAGGGAGGGGGAGCTGAACAAGGAACTCAGTAAGGTGTCAACCCTGGTTCAAAGATTTTACCTTGAAAACCCTGATCCTTTGCCTTTGAAATATGAAGGCAGATTGTTACTACATAATTTCCACATATCAAGAGTTACACTCTCATGATTTCATTCAAACAGGTCTCTTAGCTAATCCTTGGAGAATTCTGACTAAATCCTGCTTGCCATTTTTATCTAAAACTGCTTAGGTAGTTATTGTCTGGAAACTGCCCAGAATACATAAATCTCTTGCAACTGGCCACATGATTCTGAGATACACATGTTCTTTTCCATATATAAGCTCTCCACAATGAAGAGAGCAGTAGTGAGAAAAACAGCTTCCCTTTGGCCAGCCCACAGATATTATCATTTCCTGACCTGGAGGGGCAACTATTTAGAGGAGAACCACCATTAGTAGTGACAATCTCCCAAACATTCTAAAATCCTGGAAAACCAGGATTTTAAAATCAAGGAGGGAATTGCCACAGGTAAGGGAGTAAACTTTCTGCAGTTAATTTTCACTGTAGAGGACCATAAGAGGGCAAGGCTCATCCTTCCTTTTCCTTCTAGCAAATAACAAGAAATATAAGAATGTATGAGAAGAAATAAATTGCAGTTATAGCGTGCATTTGAGTAAAGGCATGGACAATTATTCCCCACTGCCTCTTATGAAGATTGACTTCTACACAAACTATGCGTTCCCAACATGACAATCTATTGGGAAAACCCAGCCAGCTTTGCTTACCCTACTGGACAATCTCACATGGGCTGCTTCAGAAATCATCTCTTTGAGAACTGTGGAGGACAAGAGGCAGTGGGAAGGTGGCTCTCCAAAACACAGTCAAAGGGAACAATACAAAAACAAACATGTTGCTTCTAATTAAGGCAGAAGGATACAAAAAACCCCACTGAGTCTCTGAGATTCCCTGGGATACAGGAATTGGGATATTCCCTGCTTTGCAGGGGCTCTTGTGAGGGAAAAAAAACCCCTGTTAAATGCAGCATTTTCATTGTGTGTTGAAGTGACCTCTATATTACTAACACTTTGTCTATGCAGAGTCCCCACCCAGTCTATAATCTGATCAGCTAGTTTCAGTGCTTGTTGCTTCTTTTGGGAGTGACAGTCAACTTGTGGTATCCAAATGCCCAATCCACAAATCATGCAGAAACTCCATCTTCATTATTTCATAGGATGAAATATTTCATGGGATCAGTAGGCGTGGTCTAGTTCAAAATAGTAAGGGTAGATCAATGGAAGCACATCGTGTTCCCTGGGACTCTTTGCAACTTCATTCTCCTCCTTACTCTTATTTCAAGTCGTCTGCTTTAGTGCTACAGTACTAAATTGTCAGTGAGAAAGGATGCTGCCTTGCTGCAGCCTTACAAGCATTTTCAAGTCAGAAGGCTATAAAGGAGGGTGTTTCACCTCCCAAGGTGATTTTGGAGAATCATACTGTACATGAGGGATCACTACTGTCTTTATTGCTTTTAAGCAACAGCGATTCATGCTGTACATCAGGAGAATTATTGCAAGTCCCAAACACTAGGGTGCCACCTTATGCCAATCTATGGATTTTATTCTAGTCCACTATTGCAAAGACTGTTTGACATACCTGGTGACAGCAGCAGATTCTTACTGTTTCTTTTAGCTGAAGCATCTAACCACAGACAGGCAGGTGTACTGATTTCTGGATATTCTAGATGTTGTAAACTCATGTAACTCTTGTAGAATTTGATTTATTATTAATGGAACCAAGTTTCAATCTAAAATATTGAGTATATATTTAAAATCTGCAGCAATAAAAAACCATCATATTTCCTCAAATGGTGTTTGTGTTAGTATATAGAAGGAATCCTTTGCCAATCCTTTAAAAATATTGCATAGATTTGGATATCTCATAGAACTGGGATTCAGAACTCACAATGCACACAGAAATCTCTATACAGTTTAAATGGGAAGTGGCTGATAAGCATAGTATCCAAGCAGGTAAATGCTTTCCACTGAAATGAACAGGAATGCATTTCTGCACTGGATCTAGCTGTTAAATTTGCTGCAATTAAAACTACAAAACATGGGGAAAGACTTCTGGGGAAGAAACGGCGGACTGAAGATGGCTCTGCAAAAAGTGGAGCTGACAACTGCAGTGGAATGAAGAGCTGGCGAGTAGACTGCCTCTTCGATAATTCTTCTTTGGACAAGGAGAGGGCTTGAGATCACCCATAAGTGCTCGAGATAGTTGCTCCTTGTAAGGAGATTGCAAGACAGTGGTCTCCGGTGGGTTTAGAGCTTTGGGAATAACCATCTTGCTCAAACTGCAGTTGGTGCCTTTAAAAGGACACTGGGTTCACATACTTCCTTTTCCTTTTCTAATCGCTTTCGCAAATTGCTTGTTAACTGTTTTTCAGCTATTAGGAACCTTTGGATCGACAAGTTTTACAGCACTGGGTGAGTTTCCTTCAATCCTTTGCAAAAGAAGTTTTAAATACAAGTTTAAGGCCTTAAAAAACTTTTTTTTTTTTGGAATCAACAGCAAAAGGGTGATTAAAACTTTGATCTTAGAAAGTCACAAATGGACTAAAGGACAAGATAAATTTGAAATAAGATTATGGAATTAATTATAAAGAATCCTTCATGTGGTAAAATGCTTCTGTTTTGAATTTTAAAAAATAATTAGGTAAGACTTTAAAAATTGGACACTAGAGGGAATTAGAAGGAACTAAAGCATTGGACATACAAAAGAAACTGGCTGTCTTATTAATTAAAAGGGATATACAAATAACAAATCAACAGAGTGACTTGGATAATTTTCCTATATTGGATTTACAAAAGAGGTTTGTTAAAGTTTCAAAGAATTTTGTGAGAAGGGACAAAGAAAAAAATGAAAAGAAATCAAGTTTTGGACATTATTCAAAGGGACTAAAGATCAAGATTGTTAGAAGTAAAAGGAAGGAATATAAAGTTGGTTTATTTGATCAAGGTTAAAATAAATATGCTGTTATCTCTGATAGCCCTTAATGGACTTTTGCTGACAGCAGGATCGAAATGATGAGGCTTTAAGGATTTGTTTATAGATAAGAGATGGGACATGGGAAAAAGAGATAATTTGTTTTATTTTTTTAGATTTTTTTTATCCCGCCTTTCTTATTTTTATAAGTAAATCAAGGCAGTGAAATTAGTGCTCCTAATATTCCTTCCTCCTCTTTTCCCCACAACAACAACCCTGTGAGGTGAGTTGGGCTGAGAGAGAGTGACTGGCCCAAAGTCACACAGCTTAAAAGAAGCTGATCAGTTACTAAAATTGTTACTTGTGATGAAGGGGGAAATCATTTATTTATATATATTTCTTTTTCTTTACTATATTCTTATTTTTTCTTTTTTTCCTATTTTTCTTTCTATTTTTTCTTTTCTGCACCTTCTATTTTTTCTTTTTATTCTTTATTTTTTTTTAAGTTTGTATTAGTTGTTATTGTTGTAACTGTAATTTTTAATAAAATTACTATTTAAAAAAATACAAAAGATGAAGAGGATAGCAGTAATTACTGGAACTGAATTTTAACTCAGGATTTCACTAAAGCTGAAAATCTTCATAACTTTAACTTATTAAGCCCTAGTACAGTTGTCAACAATCAGGGCAAAGGAACTCTCTATGTCTCCTTGGACTCTCTAGATTGTGTCACAGCAGAATACAATCAAGAAACCTTTGATCAATAGAATGGGGTAGTGACAGGTACTCCTAATTCACCGTTGTTAGTGATTATTGACAAACTGGTAATGATCATACTGCAGCATGCCATTCAGACTAATGATATTAGCATTCTGTAAAGGTCAAAAGAATGGCTGGAAAAAGACAGAATTCTATACAGGTTAGATCTCATAAACCTCAAACCTTATACATTCTTGGAATATGGAAAAATCAGAGCTTCTATTTCACAAAGAAGGGGTATGATCCAGTATTCGGGTAAAAACCTAGGCTTGAAGGTTCAGAAACTCTGTCTCTATAATTCACTGCAGAAGGTAGCTGCTGAATATACATGCTCATAGGCAATAGTGCATGTACTATTACTGTATAGTATAGTAATGTACTATGTACATCTACTGTGCATAAAGAGGTTTATTGTAGAAAGTTCAATAAATATCAGTGTTCTAATTCTGAAAGCAAATCAAATGCCACTGAAATGGTTTAGACTAGGGGTAGGCAACCTCTTTATGAAATTACCCAATTTCTAAAGAGATATATGGAGCTTATGTAGTGCCCAAGGCTTTCCATGAGCTCAGAGTGGCACCGGATATTGGAATGTTATTTTATAGCATGTGAGCTATATATATTTTTTAATTAATTTTATTTTTTCCCCATTATTTTCCCAAAATAAATTCCCATTTATTTTTTTTAAATTAAATTATCTAAAAAAAAAAAAAAAAAGGTTGAGAACAGAGCCCAACAGATGCTAAAAGTGTCTATGCTTGCATGCCACTCACAAATACCAAATTACCAGCATCTTGTTTTGAGCCACAAGAGGTCCTAAGATATTCTTGCTCTGGTCATCAAATACACATAGTATAATGATATGACAAAATTTGTCTCTATAGGCTCTTGCTAGAGGAGTAGTTATAATGGTCTGCCTAAATTTGGTGTCACTACCAGAACGACCTAATCAACTGTATCTTTCTGACACCTGACATACTAGAAACAGACGTTCATTTTCCAGTAAGATAAAAAAGAAATCCGCTTTTTGTAAAATTGGATCTTGTTCAATACAGTAGATAACTAATAAATTCATTTTTATATAACGATTATATAGGGTGGAGAAATCAAAGAAAGAAATAAGGAATTAAATATCTTAGCATAATTATTGTACTTACTTTGAGAGACTCTTACTAGCTCAGTGACACTGAAAACACCTGATGTGACAAAACTGTCTTGGAAGCCCAAATGTCCTACAAAACACAAGAAAATTACAGATGTCATTATCTTTAAGCACTTAATGACAGTATTCTCAAATAACTCAGTATTAGTTTAATGTGAAAGAAACGGAATATTTAATTTTCCACTTATCATTAATTGCTATTTAGCTAGATTGATATATGGTTAGAATTTAGAGAAATTAACACAATATATTAGCCACAAGAATTGTACTTATTAAAGCATCACCACTGGAAACCTGAAAGAAAAGAAACTCATTTTAATAAATATTTTCCTCAGCTGACCCTAATTACTTAACTACTGAAATTAAAATACCATACCTAGGAATAGGACAACTCATTGCAAACATTATTTTTCACAGAAAGATTTGATCAGGATTATCCATTCATATGTACAAAGCAGGATGTAAGGATGTATTCTTCATTTTCAGATGCTACATTAAGGAAATCTTAAAAAAGCAATTGTTGAAAAAGGTTTGAAGGTGAATATTTTCAAAAGAAAAGGAAAGAAAAAAAGAAAAGAAAAAGAAATTGCTTTCAAATTAATTTTGCAAAAATGTTACCCAGTCTTTACATAAGAAAGCTTCAGTCCTCCAAAGCTCTTTAAGAGATAAAGGTGGACGGTTGTTTGTTGTTTTTATAAAAGCATTTTACATCAAATGTTGCTTTCTTTTATGTAGCAAATATCCTGGTTTAAGTCCTATGAACAATCTCAATCTTAGGATAAGACAGATTTACCACATATTAAGTATAAGCCATGAATATTTTCTGGTGACTGAACATAATTTGAGATATATAAAATCTGTCCAACATTACCCACACCAAATTATAACTCAGTAATTCATTTATTTTATTATTTATTTACCTATTATGAAATGTATGCCATGCTTCCTCTTTTCAATGGAGAAACTCAGGTATAAACATCAAAATAACTCAGGGGAAAAATAAAACTGAAATACATTTTTTTCTGACTGCATACACACACGATGCACACCTGCCAACCTCTACTGTTAATTGCCATGAGTCCTGGGAGATTATGGTGATACATAAACAATTAAGTATTTTCTGGTAATACTTATAAACTAGGTATCTATGACATTATTTACAGGGAAACTTTGGGTGAATCACTGAAGCAATAGCAATATGCCAGATCATGTGTACACAGATCACATGTAAGACATACAACTTGATACAGCTATGAAGTTAGAATCAATCTGAATTGTAACCAGGCGTACATTTATGAATTAAACTTGCATTAACATGTTCTTGGAGGAAGAAACAACTTCTTAGTCTCCACACAAAGTTTCATGCTGGAATGTCAGTGTTATAAACAGACAAACAAACAAAAAAGGAAACAAGCTAGAGATGGGCTGAGCAGATATTGTAGATATACAAATTTGAGAGGCTAGTCCTCAAACATACCTCCAAACCAATAATGAGATCTGTGTTGAATTCATTGGGCAAATCCAGTTTAAAAATGAGGAGGAAGAGGAGGAGAAAGTAGGATTAACAAGCCTGGGCTGCAAAAATCTGGAGGATCACAGGTCAGATACAATAGCCATAGGAAGAGGAAAATATGTCACTACTTCTGTTCTTGCACTAGGAACCTGGCAAGGATTTGGATTTTTCAGGTTTCTAACATTGGAATTCCCACCTGTAATAGTTACCATCAACAAACTATTCATCTATTACTACCCTTGGTATCTTTAAATATTTTGTAGGGTTGAAATGAAATTTTACCAAATAAAAACTTCTATCTGAAATTTGGAGGGGGAGGCAGGGAAAATGGGAAAGAAGAAAGTTAATTTGGGAATACAGGCAAATTTAATCTGAAAGTTTGGGGTGGTTTACCAGATAAAGTGGTGGCAAGTTTTAAGGAGGCTTAGTGTGGTGGAGTTCTTTTTGATAAAAAGTCCCATAAAAGACTTTATGTAAGAAAGTTCACCATTAAACCAACAGACTTTCTGATTTTTGTATGCAGACAGAACATTAAAAAGTTTCCACCTGCCACAGTTATCTTTTATTTGGAGAAATACAGGTAGTCTTTGCTTAACAACCTGCAACTCCACTGCTAAGTGAAGCAGTCGCTGAGTAGGAAATCACACGACCACAACTGTGCTTTCCGGCTGGAAAGAGACAAGACTACTCAGTTTCACACTTTTGGCTTTTGTTTGCCTCTTAACCACTCCTCCACCTTTCGAATGCTTGAGTGCCTGCTGACTGTCTTGTACACATTGAAAGCAATGTGAGCACACCACAGCCTGGGCCTGGGAGCCACGGGGATGCTATGCAAACAGCTTACTCTCTTGCAATCCCTTTGTCTCCAATCTCCAAAAATATGTTTTCAGATATCATTACCACTACCCCAAAAGAACAAATATAAAACTCTTATACTGGGGTTTGAATTATACTACAACCTCTCTTATATTTTATTTACTTGATTTATATGTTGCCTTTCTACTCTGCTGAGTATTATATCTGTTTACCTGATAGTGTAGTATATTAAATGTGGGAGAGGGTATCAACTTGATCATTAACTATTATGTTAAGTGTTAACTGTTTAACAGTTAATGTAAACAGATAGTTTAGGTCAGGGTAATTTGCTTCTTTTAAAATTCTTCTGTATTTGATGACAGGATGGCTATTTAGTTTGAAAATATCTCTTCTTTCTACTGAGATAACAGTAGTTATCTCTTTTTCCTTTCCCTCTTTTTATTCTGTCAAACTATGAACTACCTTTCATTTCTCTTAGAAGCTGGCAGAAGCTAACTTTTTCCTGGTTTCAATCAACCTTCAATTGCTGTTTTTTGAAACATAGATCCGACATACTTTTAAGACAGCACTAAACACATGTCTAAAAAGCAAATCTGTCTTTTCAAAAGAACACCTACGCTTGTGTTTAGAAGGAGCCAGGATAAAATCTGATTAATGCTTTGGAAGGAGCTCATCAGGTATTGTGTGAGTAAATGCCTCCACAGAAACAAGGTGATTAATCCAATGTTTCTCAATCTCAGCAACTTTAAGATGTGTGGACTTCAACTCCCAGAATTGCTCAGCCAACATGAACCGAGGTTGCTGAGGTTGAGAAGCACTGGTGTAATCTCTCCGAAATGGCCACGGAGGATGATAATGATCAGAAGGACAGAAGTGTACCTGCAGCAGACTGAAGTGTTCAATTGAAGCTAGGCATATCTAATCTACTGATGAAGTGTACTAGATTATATCCACTGCTATATATGTGTTAGGAAAAGAGGAAAATACTACATTCAAATTGAACAGCTAAAGAGGACTTTATGCTGCTTCAGCTGTGGCTAGGAGGATATAAGGATAAAATCTCACTTCTCTTAACTTTCTGGCTGGTTTCCTTACAAGTAGTTAGCCAGTTAGCCCATACTTTTATTTTAACAGAACACTTTACTCTTTTATCACATATGGGTTAGCCTAATATTAGGAGGCTAAAAGAAGAGAAAGACAGCAGCTGGTTTTTATATCTTCTGATGGCTGTTCCAACTGAAAATGGAGATGTACATGACTTACTGGTCCTTTTGCTCAAGGAATAAAGTTGAAGTGAAAAGAATGAAATAAAACAAATCAGGAATATAGAACAGTAAATGTCAGGGAAAAGAGCCGGAGGTTATTCTTCCCACTAAGAAGCTAGTTTTTTACTGTATGAATTTTATTCTCTCTCTCTAGTCCTGTCTTAGGCACAAAGTCAGCTGGGTGACCTTAGGCCAGTCACTCTCTCTCAACCCTAGGAAGCAGGCAATGGCAAACCACTTCTGAAATCTTGCCAAGAAAACTAGTCCAGGCAGTCGCCAGGAGTCAAAAATTGAGTCAGTTTGAATGTTTGACTCTTTAGCTGTTCAGTTTGAATGTTTGACTCTTTAGCTGTTCAGTTTGAATGTTTGATTCAAAGGCACAAAAAAACAAGCAAAAACAACAACCCCCCCCCCCACAACTCCAATCTAGAGTGGCAAAGTGCAGATGAATGCTTGTCACTTCATAGAGAACCAATCTACAGTGCTGAAATAGACAGTCATCCTAAATTGTAACACTACAGAGAATTAGGTCAACTATTCCTTTTCCTTTCCAACTTATCTCTATACTACCCCAAAAAGTCTTAAAGAGAAGAATCTGCAAAATATATCGAAGCTGTCCTCATGAGTTACAACCCTCAAAGGCTAGTGTGCATGGTCCTGCTATCTTCCCATTCAGATGACTGAAAAGCAGCTGAAGAGGACCATGTTTAATGATGGCAGTTTAAGTCCACTATCATCTGACTGGTTGGAAGCATTGACAGCTACAGAAGTTAGTGCTGAAATGTGTATCAAGACACAAAGCACACAACTAACACATTTATGTTAGCTCAAGTATGTAAAGCTGGAGTTTGCATCATGACATCATTTCACATGGGTTATTTTGACGGAGTCTTGACTTTCTGCAGAAGCCTGTGGTTGGTTGGTTGGTTGTTTATTTATTTATTTAATTTATATGCTGCTCATCTCCCCCAGAGGGTGACTCTGGACAGCTTACAATTAAAACCAAGACAATAAAACAATAAAATAAATATAAATATCTCCCAATTAAAACACAAACAACAAATCTATAAAAACAATATACAAATCAAGAAGTTGGGGGAAACAGTATCAATCATCCCACGAGCCAGCTCCAGCAATGCGAGGCCCCATCAGGCCCCCAGGCTATCCATCATAGCCATGTTTTTACACCTTTTTGGAAGGCCAGGAGAGTGGGGGCAGCCTGCACCTCAGCTGGCAAACTGTACCACAGGGCGGGGGCCACCGCAGAAAAGGCCCTCTTCCTAGTCCCTGCCAGCTGAAATTCCTTGAGGGTCCGCAACATGCCCCTTCTGCCAGACTGAGTGAGGTGGGCAGATATAACCGGGGTGAGATGGCTCCTCAGATAACCTGGTCCTGTGCCATGAAGGGCTTTAAAGGTGATAACCAACACCTTGAATTGGACCCAGAAGCAAACTGGCAACCAGCTCGCATAACAGA